GACTTACAATTTTTGTCATTTCGGCCAAAAAATGGATTTTGTTCAAAATTTCAGTATAGATAGTAATAAATCATAGCTTTGGCTTGGAGAATTTTCAAAGTATAGTAATATTTAATTTTCTTGTAATTTTGATACTTAAACTTAATGTTTATTTAATTTATAATATAGTTTTAACTTATGCTTTTTATTTTTGTCAAATTGCCACAGGCTGCGACGCCAGATATTTTACCCAATCACTCAACCATTTATATGTACAGAAAACTGTGTTTATAAAAATAATCCTTTTGACTGATGAAATTGTTTTTTGAGGGACAGGCTCTTTCTTTTATACTGCTTCCTTGCCTTGTCAACTTCTCTCTTGTCATACATATTAACCCGTTTTAAATACCTAGTTCACACAGTAGCCATCATCTCAATAGGTCAGTGCTCTCTACCATGGGATGAGGTAGTGTTAAGAATACAGTCCACTGTGATATATAACTTCATCTCCTCTTGTTAAGGAAGTGATTTGGTGTGTAGTTACTGACTTCTTGTTGTAATGATTTAATAGTTTAGTAAGAGCTAAGGGAATTAGTATACTAAGATGGTAAAGGTTCACCTTTGTAGTTTTTAATTTAATTTTTGTGAAATATATTAATGCAGTGACACACAGTATTGTATTTTTGTGCTTAATAAACTAGACAAACTTAGTTGTATGTACCTTGTATTGTATATCCAATGCATTTTGTATTTTAAATATACAACACTCAAACTAAACTTACATGACTGAAGTATGCACAGACAGGAGAAATTATAAAACAGGAACAATTGTTATGTATATTTTATATTTAACAATAAATGTGTTTAAACAATTCTCAATATCAAATCATTGTATTACTTTGGAGAAGAGAAAAATTATTACATTGTTCACAGGGCCAGCTGCTGTACATTACTGTACAGTAATGTATCTCCTTCCAAAGCAAGATGGATTGAGGACCTTCTGTAAGTGTAAATTTTGACTCACAGAGTCTGTGTCTACATGCAATATCCCTGTGCTGTATAAGGGTTGAAATCTGCTTGAGATATAATCTTGGTTAATGGGTTTTCATAAAAACTGAGTAGTCACTGGACATTCCCCACCAAGACCTTATCAGAGAATAGTTTGTCTTGAAGTTTCCACAGACTTGACAAGTCCTTCTGTGGCTAGTTGAAGTGATTATCACATGGCACTGACATCCTTATATTTCTGGATTCAAGTTTCAATAATATAGGCACAATGCATAACTATCTGTGTTCTTTGTAGCTGCATCAAGCAACATGCATACTACATGATAAGGTGGATAAAGTCTTGCCATGCCCCATTGGAAGAACACCTTACCCTTTACATACTACACTATCATATGACACGTAATAACAATTCATAGATTTAGGTAGTCAATGCAAGTACAGTAGAGTACTCTTTATTTTGTTGGGATTTTCTGTAGCGTTCAAGGGTAAATTCATCCTCCACCAATAAGTACTGAACACTGCATGCTAAGAATGGGACATGGTTATAATAATAGCATTGCTCTCCAAGGTTACATATTTACTGAACACCCATCTACAGGTGTTTGTTTAGCAAAGTTGCACAGTCATGTTTGAATGACATTGTAGATATTAATAGCAATAACATCAGTACTTTTCTTCAAATTAAAACAAAATAATTTGGTTGTAATATTAATTTTTAAATAAATTAACACTATTGTGCTTGATAAGTTTTATATACAATCTTACCTAAAGCAAACACCCACTTACTTGTGATTGAACAGCTGCCAAAACTAGAGTAAGTAAATTCCATCGCCACAAGTTAATTTTCAATCACATAAGACGTCACAACTAGCAGAAATATTCAAAATGAAATACCTTGGCCATAGGCACACCTCTAGTTGCAGATGATAATAACTACAGAGTTTGGTGGGGATAGATTTTTGTAGGTTTTAGGCAGATGATACAAGAAAAAGTTAAAGAACGCACCTCTGGACGGACAATACCAGAGACGGTCATATAAGAATGCGACCCCCCCAAAAAGCATCAATAACTGTTAGCGTACTGTACATAATTTCTTAGTAAATTTATTTGAACGAATCTTTGACTGACGGTACAATATTCAGTACTTCAAGTCTGGATTACAGCTCCTGCCCTATTAAATTTTTCACTGAAATTCAATATTGGTACTGAATGAAGAAGTATTATACAAACTGTTAGTTATAAAGATCATCATAACACATGGTAGCCCAAAATAAACGGCCGTTCAGTTCACTACAATGGCTGAATGTCAGTTTGTTACATTGATAAATTTGTGCAATACACTTATGTTCACTCCTTAGCCAAGTCTTCCATCAGAGACATCTGTGTTTTCAGCTCTTCCATCTTAAGCCCTGAAGCAAAGCAGAAAGGCAATTGACAGCTTACAAGGTTGCCTGAGAACATGCAGTAAGTATAATACCTACTGTAGTTGTTTCATTACTAAATACTGTACTGTACATTAAAAATAAAAAGATGTTCAAAATACTTGGGTAACCTGTTCCTGTTTACTGTATATGGGGAGATATAATATAGGATTCAGATAAATACTGAAGAATATTAGTCTTATTTAATGATAAATGAAAGTACTGTAAGTGTTGACAGATAACACACAATAGATGCACAGCCACCACATAAAACACACCTTAGCTTTGAACACATGAATTAATAATTAAAATATTTTTAGGCAGTATCCTCCAGGTAGCTCCTGCAGAAGGGAATCCTATATGTGAGGAATAATTAATGGTAGACCTGCAACAGTGGATATCTTACCTATAGTCTGAATAACTCTTTGTTTTTGACTGTCATTTAGCTTCCCCAACAATGTCCTGTAGTCGTCCATTGTTTCCATAACATGAGCTTGTGTGTCTTCCATATCTTCAGAGAAGTAGACCGTCCCTACAGATGATCTCTAAAGAATTTTAAAAAGTTAATGAATCGACTTCAAATGTAATCAAACTTAATGTTAGTGTACTTGATATTAAAGTTGTTTCCTGACAAGCCTAAGGGCAAATACAATACAGTACTCTACAGTACCTGTACTGTATTGACTTGAACATCATTCACTCGTACTGTACATAAATAAATAACAAAATATTTTCAGATTAACTTAATACAGTAATTGAACAGAATAAAGCATGATGCCTAGTCTTTCTCTAATTAAGAATTAAACAGTATGATGGCTAAATGTATCTTGGTTTTTATATACCATTGATGGGGTCCCCAACTCACTCATTTTATGGTATGGTCTAACTTCTTAAAGCTCTTATGTTCATTATAGGACCACAGTATACTGTATTGTTTTCTATACAGTGCACTGTATAGTAATGACTTATTCTGCACTATATTATTTTACATACAGGTTAAGTGAGCTCAACACTTCAGATAGCTAAGTAAGGTTTTCAAATAATGCTGAGTTAAAAGGACCTAAGTGGATTTGAAGAGGTGTGGGATCAAGAGGTTAAGGTCTTATACAGTACAGTGCTATAATTTAGTAAAAGGTGGGGTTATCTACAAGGATTCTGTATGCTGGAAGGAATAAAAAGTAATTTAAGGTTAGGTAAGTAAAAGTTCAATTGTAACCATCACTCACTGCATCATTCATTAACTCCATGGCTTCTGTGAATTTATCTGAGATAGATTCAACTGCCTTCTTGATCTCTTGTTGTGTCATTTCTTTACTGGATGTATCTGAATAATGACAGCTGCCTGGGACAACTTGCTTCAGCCTCTGCACATGAGCCAAGGTCCATCCATGAAGTGGAGTGACTGGTAATCTCTTTTCAAAATCATTATGTCTCTTATTGGCTGCTTCATTTACTGATGTATAAAATCTGTAAATACATAGATCATTATACATAATACTGTATGACTTTCATTATCCAGCAGAAAAAAAAATTATACCTATACTATACAGTACTCTAAATATCTTGAATTACTTCAAAGATCATTAATTAACACTAATTACTCGAATTTTTAAATTGTGAATCTAGATCCTTAATCAGCATATAAAGTAGCTAGTACCTTTGTTTGAAATTTTAACAAAATCCACGATGTATGATCCCATGCTTCGAAACACATGGTATTAGGTTAGGTGAACTGTTTAGGTCTTTAGGGTTAGGAAGAACAGAAAAAATGGGGTACTCTATTGTAGTTGTGCTCCAAATGCCAGGTCCAAATATCACATAAACTTTTTAATCATTATGGACTGTACAAGTTAGCGGACACAACTTCAATGTTTCCGAGTACTGTAACATAAGTATACAGTAATACACATTCAGACACTCGGAAAACTTAGTGGATGACTGCAGTGTCTTTATTTATGGGAAAAATCAGAGACAAAACCTGAATATGTGAAGGTAAGAAATATAGTTATATTTTATTTGGTAGCTAGATAACCCAGAACCTTGTCATTATATATTACTAACAATAATATTTCCCGTCATTTCAAAATAAAAAGTATTAATGGTTAGTTGTTTCCTCATACAGTTTATTAGATTATTCCTTCATCTAATCACGGTAAATTACGACTGAAATAAGCTTTAAATGGCTTGGGTTGGAGTGATATAAACACAGGATAAGAAACTTGAGATAAGCTTATTTCCACTGTGGTCCTGTCAACACTACTTCACATCATCACACAACACACCTCTTAGATGAAGATATGACAGTTCTCGTCGTGTTGGTGTAAGGTAGGTGGCCTAACAGTCTCAGGCTGGGGTGGGAGAGAGACAGCATCTTAGATCAAGTTTGTTATTAAGGCCAGTCTGACTCTCACCCCCCCCACCCACGAGGAGCAAACCTGGGACTGGAACCGTGACAAGTGATTCACGCTTTAAAGTAATTTGACCAGATTTTATGATGCTTATTTATATTTATATAGGTTATTATAATTGATACCCAAATGTTAAAACTGTACATAAGTAATTGGATTCGTGAGATAACTACTTCAGAAACATCTGTGGTTTTTATAGTGTGTCGATAATAATAATATAACTATTGTATTATTATAAAATATTTTAAAAATCAGGTTTCATCGCTCAAAAATAGTATTTTTTTAATTTTCGGGAAAAGGGTTCGAGGTTTAGTATCGGGTTTGTTCATCTTAACGAGGTTCTAATATTTGAGCATTCGATTCCGAGTGTTTAAATATATTTTTTCTTTGTGAAACATAAAAATTAACAGCACCTAATAACGTGAATGCTGTAAGGAAATAAACATAAAATATTAGAGTCACGTCATGGTTTTCACCTATAAATTTTGATAAAACTCTCATTTTGCATGTCTACATGCGGTGTTTATATATAATCTAACTCCTTATATGAGTTACTGAAGCCTACTATGGAAAGGTCCAATGATGTTCTTAATAACATTTGGCAATATCAGTCTTGAATCAAACAAAGTTTCACGAAGCTTATATTATTGTCAAAATATAGGTTATCAGGAAATTGCTAATATATTTGTAAACACTACTTTAAATAGTCAATAAACTACAAATAAAATAAAATAAAATCTTAAATAATTATAATTTTGATTAAACCTAATAAAAATGACCATAGAGCACTGTGCAGGATTATAATCACGAAATTTATTACACGTTTTCGGATATTTTCCAGGGAATTTATAACAAAGAAGCCTGTATTAATATATAAAAAATAATTATAATATATATATCTTATCTATTTTTGTCAATATACAGGTAAATTTGTTTGAATGTTGGATAATAGTCGAGAAGAAAGTATAGACGACAGACCCTGGGCCGCCGCGCTGCCCGACTCAGTGCGCCGCTCGTGTGTTTACTATTCGTTGGGAAGTAGTGATGCCCATGAATTAAACCTACTAAGGGGTGTGAAATATTAAAGAAATACCCCAAGCATCCTGTTTCTCACACCGGGAACATATTCTAGATGGTGAGTAGACAATTTATGGCTGAAAAATGGAGGAATTAGTGTGGCGGGAAAGTGGAGAATATAAGGCAACATGGATACTGTCAGACCCCTAAATTAAATCCCACGTTTTACTTGTTCCTCCAATATTTACGTGTTTCCCACAGCTTGAATACTGTTATATTGTCTCTATTGGAAGAACTGAGTAAAGAAATGTATTAAAACATGTACATATCCTGGTATTTTAACTGTTTACATATGTCCCAGGCAGGTGGTGGTGTGACTTGTATGTCCCTTTAAATAATTGGTGGCGGATATTTTACCTGGAAGCTGTAGACTTATTAAGCCCCTCACATGTCGGCTGTCGGCTCAACTATTGTTTCTTGGGAAGATATTTGGGAAACTAATAATATACTCAAACTGACCCTAAACTACCTTAATTATCTTGGCTGGAACATACAGTAGTTAAAGGTCATTAGTGTGTCTGTCTGTGTTAGTGGTTCACAGGAAAAATATGAATGATAAGTTGAATTGTATAAATATTTAGACCTCAAGGTACTTCTCACACTATGGAAACTCAAAAAAAATTTTGTCTTAAGCCCTCGAATGCAAAACCAGTGGAGCAGTTCCAGTAAGGATAAAACTAGTTTGATATTCATTGATGGAGTGGACCAACTGAACCAAACAACAGTAATGTGGGAGTGTTAGGTTAGGTCAGCTTTTAACAGATGTTCCACTTTATCATTGGTTTTCAAAGAACAGGATATTTTGGGGGCTTCTCCAATAGATTCATAGGCAATCCTGCAGCAGATGGCTAACACCAGAATGCTTCGTTCAATTTCGTTAATTTTTTCCTTAGATGTTATTAGCTCCATATTAGCTGGATGATAGTAAATAATAAAATGGATACAGTACAATAATGAACAGAACCTAACCTAACCAACCAAAGAAACATACCTAACCTTCTAGCCTGTGGGTGAACCCCCCATCACATTAAAAAGAAAGTATTTACTTTGGTATCTGGTACCAATAAAAGCAACTTTCTTGAAGCGTCATGGACGCGTGAGAATACGCTCAGACTGAGCAGGTCGTTTGGTCTGGGCGTAAACAAACAAAGAGCAGATGACAACATGTACTAACATAGCAGATTTTTTAGCTGAATATTTATGGTACATAATTAATTTATTCTCGTACAAAACATGTAGAGACGTCATTTTAGTGCATATGATCAGTTTTCACCAAGTTTTACCTCACAGTATCCCTCATCCTTCATACTCTGCCTACTAAAGGTTTATGATTGTAGATAGAGAAGAACTAAAAAATTAATAGGTACAGCGTACTTATAATTAAAATAAGTATCATTTTTATTATCATCATCCTAAGAACATCTGTGGGAAAATCAATGAAATGGATCAACTTCTGGTGTATGTATTTAATCTCAAGGATCAGCACCATAGATAGGGGTCACATCCCAGTCGAAGGTGGCAAAATATCCTATTGAAGGGTGCGGGTACTGAGTCCATTGAGAAATTCACAAACGGGAATGATTTTTGAAGATGTTGTAAACCTTAGGTGTTGTTGTCAGTGTAGGGGAAAGCTCATTCTGTGTAAGTTGATCCACGTTAATAATACAGTATGTCATCTTCACAATTGGAACAGGTGGGACAGCACAGCGTGTGATGCCTGCGTCATCATCTGAGGTGATAGGGGCGGCGCTGCAGTCTGCATACCGACACTCACCGGTAGACACAGCCCCCTCTTCCTTATACAAGAAGAAATCGATAGAGGAACAACTTGTAGCATCTAGTAAACAGGTAAAAGGATGTTGTTGCTAGTAGAGTTCTGGTGCTTTATTCATATCCAAGTTAAGACACCAGTTACAGTCCAACTTGGACCATATCTAACTCAGACCATCAAACACCAACTCAGACCACTTAGGTTTACACATTTTTGCTTGAATGATAAAAGTACAATGATAAAAAGCTTCATAGATTATAAGGGGGGGTGGAATTGATTTGTTGCGATTTATCTTTTCATTCTACCTTATTAATATATTAATGTACAGTCTCGTTCAAGGTTCTTCGAACACTTTTGGAGACAGCTGGCAACTCAAGGCCGTTGTTTACTATAGAACGTAGTAAAAATTATGAATGAATGTAAAGGTGATCGGTGATTGGTTACTTAGTTCCCTGTTGCTTAATTAATGGTTGGGCTTTGTTGTTTCGTATTGTATCATACTACGTACTACAGTAAACAAACGGCTTTGAGTTGCCAACAGTGTTCGAAGAATATTGAACGAGACTGTACCTGGAGACCTGACAACGGCACCTTCTCAAAATATGTTGGTTGAGGATAACCTGATCACGAGGTCTGAGGTTGACGAGTTCCACAGCAATTTAAATTATAAGTTACTTAATGCACAAAGGTAGAACATACCAAACAGAAAACTCAGATCAAATAACGATGACACCAAATGGATAAATAATTATTTAAAGAATATTATTGGCCAAAGAAAGGCTATAGGTTGAAAAATATATCGTAAAGTTTACCTCCGAGATTATTATAAGGTATTGACCGGTAGTGTTAAGACCGAGATAAGAAAAGCAAAACGGAATAATGAACTGAAGGTAGCAAGGGAGGCGAAGGTAAACCCCAAGGGATTCTTTCAAATGTCTCAAACTAAAACACGAGACAAGTTTGGACCGATATCGGCGAGCTAACTGATATCGGTGGAGAAATGAGCAATAATCTGAACAGGTATTTTTCAACACTTTTCACCAGTGAAAATGTAAACATTATACCCGAGGCACCGACTATATACAGAGTTAGTGAAGAAAATAGATAAAGCGAGATAGTAGTGACTAGTAATGATGTTTGTAAGCAAATAGACAATCTAAAGCCACATAAATCACCAGGTCCCGATAAGATAGTTGCCAGAGTAATAAAGGAATGTAAGGAAGAACTTAATATGCCCTTAGCAAATTTGTTTGACATTTCATTAATAACGGGTGTAGTGCCAGAATCCTGGAGGATAGCAAATGTGATACCGATTTTCAAAAAGGGAGATAAATCACTATCCTCCAACTACTGTCCAATCAGTTTAGCATCAGTTGTAGGCAAATTGCTGGAAGCAATAATTTCAAACCCTATTCGAAATCACCTGGAGAAGCACAAGTTACGAATGTGAATCATGGTTCATTGATCAAGTTCTTCTGACATAAACTCATAAAATTCGTCCTTCATTCCGATTGAACCCTCGGTATTCACTCATTCATACTCTTCGTATTTCAGTGAACCAAAAGTGACATAAAACAATTCTCAAACTCATTCCTGAACCTCTAATCAGTTACTTGTTTGAAGTGTGCAAGGTGGGCCGAGTTAGTAATGTGTGGGCCGAGTTGGTTATTTAAGATGGGCCAAGATGGAGGTACACCAAGACGCCAGCTTCATGATACAATTACTGCAGGGAGGTTGCTGGACCTGCACTTTATACCTAAAGCAGTTTTTATGCTTTTACTGTTGAAAGTGTCTCAATATTAATAAGAGCGATACTGCATTTTAAATTGTACAATGACATGTATGGTATTGTCATATACAAAATAAATATTTTATCAACCAGTGGTGATTGTGTCATAAAAGATAGTTTGTTATGCATTAATGAGTTCTTTTTTTATGCTATTAAAATTCCTACACTTGTCTTGCATCACTCTCTCTGACATATCCTTTGGTTCTTTAGGTTTCTAATTACCGGTATTTGGATACAATCCTTATAAAAGTAGTAGAGAAATTCAGATATACACCACCAAATGAATAAAAGCTCATCATCTACTGCATTAATTTGCATATACTGCACAGCATAGTAGTATAGTTGATAAGCCAGTCTGGGGTAACACCAGA